TGCATCCTTAAACGCTTAGTCATAGATATAAAACACTAAAGAGACATAATTTTTAACTGTTTGGTAAGCATTCCAATTATTCTCGCATATGTATAATTATTGCTGTATACTGCTCTGATCACATTCAGCAATCAATTTTCAACACTGTTTTTGAACCAAATATTCTACAGTTCAAGTCTCATCTTTTTATCATGCTTTTTAATGACACTACAAATTAATATTACAATAAATATACATTTATATATGTCTCAATGACCTATTATTTCATAATAAACACTTAGGTTTATATGTTACATTGATATCCTTTTTGTTTTAGTTTCGCAAACATATAACTCATCTATATTTTTGTTAATGTATCTATTTATTTTGACATATCTCCAAAGATAAAATGCAAAATACAAGGATAGAAAAAAAAGAAAAAGAAAATCTGATACCCAGCAAAACACCATGGGTACCAATTCCCATCAAATATCAAATACATCTTACATAAGACATTAAAAAAATCCACCTCAGATGAATTCTGGAAGATGAATAAAAAATCTGATATTTTCTCCTCTCCTTTCATAACAGGTCTTTAAGAAAATTATATATTATATATTACATATATATGTAATTTTTCTTAATACATTTCTCAATAATTTTTCTTTATACACACACACAAACACACACACACACACACACACACACACACACGACACACACACACGAACCTAAACAGTCAACAGGTAATCCCAAAGGTTAAAACTAATCTTCAAATCCCTCTGTTAACCATCTGTTATTGTATTTAACAAGTAGAAAGTCCCAAATGGCTTCCAGTTTCTTATAAACTTGTCTAATCCATTGTCTCTAATCAAAGCAGTTAATTTTGCCATCTCTGTTAATTCTCTGCTAATTCAGTGAATTTTAAAATCCACTCTTTGACTGTCGGCGTTCCCTTTTCCTTCCAATGCTTAGCATAAACAATCCTGTCAGCAGTCAGCATATTAAGAAACAGCGTTATTTCAGTATTGGTTTGTCCATAATACCTAGAAAAAAAACTTCAGGTTTCATTAATATTTGTATTTGAAATTAATGTATTTATTTCATTTAACAGTTTATGTACTTTATTGTTTCCTTTTTTAAACAACCCAAGCTGCAATTTTTCATATACCCTGTATCCCCTAAAAGAAGACCTCCCCAGATAATAAGCCCAGTCGGGCTTTTGAGCGTATGCGCTAAAAAGTCCTCTCTCAAAAATATTGCAACACAGCGACAGCCATGAGGTGACCACGCTCGCAGCCTCCTGCACCTCAAAAATAGTAAGACCTCCCCGAAAATAAGGTCGCCTATTTTGGGGGTCAAAAGAAACATGGTAGTATGGATATCATCAAACCATAGTTTTCGATGAATGAAAGTTTCACACAAAATGCCTATAATAATATCAAGTAGAAATAAACTTCATTGCTGTTTTTTTTTAATTCCAAAGCCTCTACTGCTCTTTCCCTGTTCCTAAAAGGGAAAAATGTAGACGGAAGCAATCCCATATTTTTGTTTTTAGATAGATCCCATGGAAACAACTCTGTGACTAGTCCAGAATCCAGAACTTCACTGTGTCTGATTCTCTTTAAAAATGGGAAATGTAACCACATGGCTCATAAAATGGCTTATTTCTTGCATTTGCCAACTTGAAGAATTGCATTTTCTCTTGATTTATTTTTATATGCATATGTTTATATTAATTGAATAAACTATGTTGTTAATCTATGCTATATTTTACTTGCTTATTTTAGTATCTTAATAAAGTATTTGTGTTCTGTGGCCATTAAGTTCAAGTGCAGTAATGAGTAAATAAATCTACAAATGAATTGATTTGGCCTATTGAATTTGTAATATAGGAATGGCAAGCTAATTAATCAAAAGTTTATTCATTTCATAAATTGCTATATACATATAGCAATAACTAACCTGTTTCCCTGAAAATAAGTCCTCCCTGGATAATAAGCCCAGTCGGACTTTTGAGCACATGCGCTAAAATAAGCCCTCCTTGAAAATATTGCAACAGAGCAGCAGCTACGAGGTGACCACACTTGCCGCCTCCTGCACTTCAAAAATAACAAAACCTCCCCCAAAATAAGGCCAAGCGCTTATTTCGGGGGTCAAAAGAAAATAAGATCCTGTCTTATTTTCGGGGAAACACGGTATATTAAAAAAACAAGGTAATTCTTGACCATTAGAGGTTTAGGCATGACACCAGACCAGAATTGGTCAAAGTCTGTTGCAGTTCAATTTCTAAGTGAGTCCCATAAATAAAATAAACAACCCAGTCAAGGAGGCTCTGCTTGTTTCAATGATATGACATTCCTTCCTTTTTTCATTTCATCTTCAATAGAATTAAATGTATTTGGAGATTTGAAGTAAAATTGTTTGCCGTCAGAGGCTTCTTAATAATACTAATTAATTTAATTGAATCAAATTTAAAAACAGTCATCTAAAGATGAGTTTTTATGTGTCTAAAAATTATGCATGAAGATTTTTCTGTATAAATAAATGTTAAATCTTCAACTCTTATCCACTCTTCATTTTCTAGTTAAATAAAAAAAAAGACAAGCCACAGATTTAGAAATACCGCTACAGGACTGAGTGTTTCTCATAATTTTTGAGAACATTTTCTGATAGATACAAAACACAAAGTAGAAAGTAAACTAGAAATATTAATAGGGATCGTTACTGTTTATGGAACTATAAATACATTGTTCCCCTGTAGTATTAAATTTCTCTGTAAAATAAGGAAATCAAGGTAAATGGATGTTACATGCATTATATTACATGCCTTTTCTTGTTAATGTTACTATCTATTGCTCCAGTTCTATTATTCTGTAACATAAATGCCACTTGATTAATGGAAATAAAATTGATCCAGATAAAAGCTACTTCAAATTCATGCAGGTTATGGCCATTCAGAAGCAGATGTTCTTCACCAATCCTTACTTGAAGCCAATATTGCCACTGAAGTGGGTCTTACGATTCTGAATACTTTATCTTTGTTCACAGTGGCATTTAAGGTATGTTTTAGATATACAGTTGTGTACTAATATTGATAAAAATAGTGTCTTAATACTATTTTACAGATAGAAATATTCCTGCTCCAGAACTTTCTTTTACAATTGTGTTTAGGCTTCCTTGTTGGTATTCCTGAAGGTTGGGTTTCTGTATTATACTGTGNAAAAGTGACTTATGACCATTTTTCACATGTACAACCTTTGTAGCATCCCCATTTTTGATCATGTGACCCAAATTCAGTTGCTTGGCAACTGGTTCATGCTTATGACGGTTGCAATGTGCTGGAGTCATGTGATCCCCTTTTGCAACCTTCAGACAAGCGAAGTCAATGGGGAAGTCAGATTCACTTAACAACCAAGTTACTAACTTATCAGCTGCAGTGATTTACTTAACAACTGTGACAAGAAAGGTCATAAAATGGGACAAAGCTCACTTAATAAATGTCTTACTTAACAACATAAATTTTGGGCTCAATTATGGTTGTTAGTTGAGGACTGTCTGTATTAAAATGTAATGATAATTTCTGTGAATTCAATCTATCTTTCCCTTGATTTGTTCTTCTATTGCAAAAAGGAAAAAAAAATAATTTAATTATAATAATAGCTATTGCACAGAAAATATATCATCCAGACAGCATGTGATAATATTGAAATTAAAATTAAAAACATGCATGTTTCTGATTTTGTGGGAAAATTTTTGAAAGAAATTCACAAACAAATATTAACTCTACACTTTGAAATGCACCAAAGGAATGTATTAGCAAAGAAACTGCATGCGATATTTACACACCCTATAGTTAAGAGTAATGGAGAAGTGTGTAATTCTGGTATTGGTTTTCATTTCTTGTCAGCTCTGGTGGTGGTACACACTAGGAGGTTAGTCTGTACTGATTGCTAACTCAGATCATTTTCTTATTTCCTTCATTTGATTGCTGGCAAGTTTAACAAAATATATGGCTCTACTCCCTTCCTGCCTGGTAAGATACAGGTGTTAGCATTTTTCACGTCATTCTGCTTTAATTGCATGTGTGCTTATTAAAGACCTGTTGACTTTCCTTTAACTTCTTTTCACAAATATGTATGACCCACAATATATTGTAACTTTTACATTATTTTAATTTATTTTATAAAAACCTCCTGCAATGCTTGCAAAATACTTCTTATTTGTGCTAATAAATGCAAAACAGCTCAGGACCGACAGGTCAAACAGTTAATCTTTGTTGACTGAGTCTTGTTTTAAAGACTACCGTGGCTGACTATCTGAAAACCATTCCAACATTTTAAAAATTTAGAAGACCACCCAACATTTCCAGTTGGTAATTAAATTGTATGGGCCACCTCCTCCATATAGTGTGGGCCATATATAATTGCTTTGGCTGGCTAGATTTGTTCACATGGACATTAACTGAAAACACAAGAAGCTACTTTTTATTTTCATTCTCTAGTGGAATTTTTTGCTTCAGCTGCTTAACTAACTCTCTCCCTCTCATGCTGCAGTGCAACATGTTTAACTTTTGCTTCTGTCCAATTTCACTCATCTTGCAGGAACCAGGAGGGGTTGGGACCCATAGTTCATGATCGAAAATCTCAGACATTGCCTGTTTCCCGTAACAGAACAGGGATGATGCATGCCAGATTACAGCAGCTGAGCAGCCTGGATAACTCTCTCTCATTTAGCCACAGTAAGTTCCATGACATCATAACAGCTGAAATCTCATCTGGTACCACAACACCAGGGGCAGGTCAAAACCCACACCAGAGCATGTCATGGATTTTAGTTTTCTAGGTCAAACCAAAACATGAATCTGCTCACTGGACAGCAGCAACACCAAATGCAAACACAATGTTAAACATTGTTGACATACATACATATCAAAAATACTCTTTGCAGACTTGAAAATTATGTATTTACATTCTGTGGTGTTCACCTTGAAAGCTTTTTGTGTGTCCAATGCTGCTGGGAATTGTGTCAGTTTACAGTTTGTCCCGAGTCCTCCTAAAATGGGGAAATGTGCTTAGTTGATTGGGTGACCATGTTTTGACATAGAGTTTAAGAGAAACCTTTTGCAGTAGTTTGAAAATACTATGAAAATGTAAAGTCCATGATTTAGTTTGGATGTGAAGAAGCACACAGTAATTAAGTGAATTTTTCTGTGTTTTCAGTGTGAGAAAAATATCAAGTTTGCTTGGAATTTCTGTAGACAATGGTAAGAAAATGAGGTTACAGTCAGATTTTGTTGGAACCGCTTGAAATAATAATCTCTGGAAATACTTTAATTTTATTAGTAAGAAGAGCATTCAATAGACATTTTTTTAATAACAGAAAATATCAAGTTAAGAACAGGCAGCTTGCTGAAATAACATATGCATATACAAACATAGACTCCCAAACTTATACACTCATATATTCCTGTCATACTCATTTTTAGGGTATACAGCACTGAGAAAGAGCATTAAAAACAGGAAGAAATAATAAATGAAAGACATTAAACCTCAGGGTTTAGAAAAAGAAAAGGAAGCCTAATTAAAAGTAGATAATACCAAGACTATTTGCTAGATTTTTCCATATCTGTCTGTGTAAACTATTCTTGTTCTCACTATGTCCATACACTGATTTTATTATCCAGACTTATTGTTAAAAAAAATTTTAAATTTAATTTTTAAAGTTTTCTAAACATCAAAGTTTAGTTTTAGCTAAAATTTCTGACTAAAATAAAACATCAATTCAAGATCAGGCACGTTGCTGAAATAATGTATGCTTATATACACATACTGTGTAGGTTGGAAACATGCGGAAGAGGCCTTCAACCTGCAGCTAAAATGATGATGATGATGACGACGAGATATATACATAGATGCACACAAATATAAATCGGGTTTTTTTTGTCACATTATTCCCTTTTGAGCAGAATATAAAAGAGGAAGAAATAGAAGATAAAAGAAATGAAAGGCCAGAGTGTAGAAAAAGAAAAGGAAACCTAGCCAAAAATGGCTTACATCCAGATTCTTTGATAGATTTTTTTTCATATCTATCTATTCTTATCCTTGCTTCCACTATGTCTGTGTACTGCTTTTATTCTCCAAACTTCTTAATGAAATTGCTTTGAGGATTTCTATCAAAATCCAGCTTTCTCAGTCTTCTTCTTCTTTCTCTCAGTCCATTCATACATTTCTTTTGCAATTTCATCATTCTTTCTACATGATCAAATCATATGAATATACTCTTTGTATACTATTATTTTTGAGTGGAATGATATTCCGCAGAGCGTACACTATAGCAAATAAAACACATTTGCTGGATCCCGTTAGATCAGAGTTTCCCAACCTTTTCAGCTTTGCATACTGGCAGAGGGGAGGCTGTGTAAGTGGCAGTCAAGCATGTGCAGCTCCATTTGGGGGCGCATCGCCCACCACGTCCGCAGCCCAGTTCCAAAAGTCTCAATACCCGGTAGTGAGCCATGGCCCAGAGGTTGGAGACCCCTCTGTTAGATGACTCTTTTTTAATCAAGGGAGTTGGAGCATGCCCACTCTGTCAGTTCTGGGAGGATTAGCAGAAACAATTGGAGGCAGGGGATCCCTCAAGTAACTCAACACTATGCCATCCAGGTCTTTATAGGTGACACACAGCACTTGAAGTGCAACCAGAACATAACTGAGACCCAGTTCACCTCATAGAGTAGAGGTATTGCAATAATGTACTACATAACATCCCAAACTGGCCACACCATTGCATTCTGGGCCACTTGGGCACAATTGACATACAAGATTGATCAGGGCAAAGATCTTCCTAGCCACAGCTGCCCCTTGCTCCTCACAGGAGTCATGCATCTAAGGAGATTCCTTAAATTGCACAGAGTTAGTGGGAATGCTACCACCCCATAAAAAAAAAAGATGAAAAATCTATGGATGCAGGAGGCCTCAAAGCCTATAGCTATTTATTCCTGCCTTGGTTGAGTTGCAGCCTCCTCATTCAGACACATTCACAACTTCCAAACATTGGGAAAGAAACTCAGTGGTTTCACTGAGTTGCAACAGAAGAGAATTTATGTTGCTCAGGTTTTAATTGTAGAGTCCTTGGCTCTTTCTGAGCTTGGTTATTTGCTTGTTGACATTTAATTACCATCTAGGTAACATCAGCAGTGCCAATAGTAATGACTATCCTACAACATCTGCAAGCAAGCAACTAAGGCAGAGGTATGCAACTGAATGCCTAAGAATCTCACTGGAAGTTTCATGCAGATGTTTGAAAACGTGGGCAAGACAGTAGAGCCCTGTGGTAACCTGCAAAGAGTAACAGAATAACAGCATTGGAAAGGACTTTGGAGATCTTCTACACCAACCCTCTGCTCATTTCAGACAAATGGTTGTCCTGTCTCTTCTTAAAAAACCTATGGCTAGATCTTTCCCTACTGTCACCAACACCAGCTGGAACTAATCTTGAAAGAACCACGCCACAACATAACCAACATGAAATGACATGGATCTAAAATACAGGCAACTGAATTCATAGTCTTAAAACTCATCAGGCCAACTCTTCCCAAATAATCGAACTATGCCTCAATCAACTCCATAGGACTTTGACTTGAGAGGTAGACTCTTGCTGTTAGAAAATCCAAGCAAGTTTATGCAACAGATGCCTGGAATAAACCTCACAATATATCTTATATGTTCCCTGGTTCTCCTTGGGGAGGAGAAATCTGGTCACTTTAAACAAGACCATCAGAGGGTATTTTGCAGATGAACTAAGGATGGATGAATAATTATGTTTTGCTGCCTTTATTGCCACAAGATCAGCCTTAACAAAGGTTTTCACTATGTTTAGTTGAGTTCACTCTTTGTTTTCCTCCAGGGGCATTCTAGGGATTTCTTATGTGGCTTCATCATCCAGAATGTTTCTGAAAACCAGGGGGGACTCCAAGATCCCTATGCACATAGTTCTTACACATATGATCTATTTGAGGGCTTTTGTCATACTCTCATTCCAGGCAAAGACTAAGGCCTCAGGGGAACCACCTACCTGATGCTCAGAAATAATCCAAATGTTCCTCTGAAACCCACCTACTTCTGTTGAGACACCTGGGATAGACTGATTGAATAGCAATAGCACTTAGACTTATATACCGCTTCACAGTGCTTTACAACCCTCTCTAAGGGTTTACAAAGTCAGCATATTGGCCCCAACAACCTGGGTTCTCATTTTACTGACCTTGGAAGGACAGAAGGCTGAGTCAACTTTGAGCTGCTCAGAATTGAACTCCTGGAGTGAGCAGTGAGTTAACCCTGCAGTACTGCATTCTAAATACTGTGTCACCATGGCTCTTATTCTTCCCAGGGCGCTGCTGGAGAGAACTTGAAGATCAATAGGGAGTAATCAGACCATAGACAGAAGACTGATAGTAACATCCACCACTTTCAGATAGTTTGCCATCATCCCAAGACCAAAAAGTGGTCTTGTATGTGAGCCTGCTGCGAGTCAGCTTTTTGGTAATCTGGGCCAAGTTGAAATTCCCCTGTGCCTTACATTTGGGAACTCCATTGTCAATCTGGTTGCTGCGTCAAGCAGCTCAGGTAGGGAGCTGCTATGTAGGAGGAAGTCTGGTATGATAGCAGCAGTCTTAATCCAATCCTGGAGCCTAACTTAACAAACAGGATTAATTTACAGTTGTCCAGAGAGCAATTCTGCTGGATGCTACTACTCTCTGTCACATGACAGTTACCACACTACTGCTCCTACTTCATTTCTGACAAAGGCAGTCTTCCTTTCATGCCCAACTACCAGGTTTCACTAATA